GCGGTGAGCGGTGAGGTCCCTCTTATCTGACTTCATACCTACTTATATGTTTGGGTAAAAAATATAGCATATAGGACCGCCGTTGTCTTCCACCTTCCCTTCTCGAAGGAAAAAAACCTCTACATATTGTTGGGGTAGGGTTCTTAATAGCTAGACGGAAAAAAGAGTAGACTATTGTTGTGTTTAACGCTGAAAAATCCAACGAATTGGGGCGAGTTTTCTAGAAATTTTTGGGAGCAACGACGCGATATGAAACGCAGTCGGCTACCGAAGAAACAAAGGTCGGTGATGAATTAGATGCTAGTGTGTCAAGAATCGGTTAGTGTTTTACACGAATAAGATAAAAATCGGATAATTAGTGGAACGCGAGTCGATAGTAAAACTGTGAGTTGTGATTTAGTTTTACTAGATTGTAGTGAAAGAAAGTATTGTAATAATGCTACTTTCATCATAATTTTTGTGTAGGTACCTACCTAAACTGTCTTAGATAAAAATATTGGGAGAGTAGTCTCACTTATCTGCAAACCTGCGTACGTGGAACTTAGATAAATTCTTTATTTGTTTTTCAGTTTTTATTATTTTTTTATTTCGATTTTTGTGCCTTCTTCTATTCGTATTCTTCCGCTAAGGATTGGTTTTATACTCATTACTATGTTCAAGGATAGAATGATCCTAAGATCATAAACCCAACCTCTCACTTTCGGCCAGTTTATTTTACCTAGCTTAGGTTTCTAACAGGGCAAATCTTGAACCTGAAAAAACAAAATCCTCATCTGAAATTCACCTGAATTACGTATTGAACGTACAGTTGCGATCAAAAAAAAGTAGTACAAAAATTATTATCCCCAATTTGAGCTTCCAGTGTAACATAGAAATTTTGACAGTAAATAAACCATAGAAAATAAACATTTCAAAATATATATGTTAAGTTCAGGCAATGACATATTTTAGGTTAGAAACAGGCGGAAAAATGCCAAAGTGATGCCTTCTGAAGCTTTCTAGGTTAAGAACTTGACAAAAAAATGCCAAAAATATGTCATTTTTGGTTATGAATTAAATTAATGTATGATGGACCAGGAGATTTTGGAGATTTTTCTTGTACTACTTTTTTTTGATCGCAACTGTACCTAAACTTTGTTTCACCAGGGTTCATACTTTTGACATAATTTGCCTTCCTTTTTTAACAAATAGAAATTGACTGAAACAAATCAATAATGTCAAAATTTTTTGTCGGTTTTCAAACCAGAAGTCATTTTAATTTGTCAAAAAAATTGAATGTGTCATATGAATTAATCTACGACGGGCACTTTCCAAAATTCACCGGTTTCTGAACCGGTGCGATACCGGTTTAATAGTTTACTCACCAAACCGTTCCCAAATGTACTGACTTTTTACCGATTGAACCCGATCGTTCGTTCCAAAATTGACCGGAATGATCAGCTGTTTAAAACCGGTGAGGCACCGAATCCACCGGGAATTTTTGTCGGTTTTTTCGGTTGGAGGTTTATTGACACTTTTTTTTTGACGTACATTAATTTAATTGCTTTGAATGGGCACTATTGCGCATTGGCAGTCTATTGTTAAATTGCTGCTTGCAGATGGCAGAATAAAAAAATGTTTGTGCGTGGGCGTCATTATGAAATCGACAAACCAAATACTCAGCTCACATAATCTACAAAAATCGTACTGAAAACTACCGTTTGTTGACTGTTAAAAATAATAAAAATACATACCAACCTCACTGCATCCCACAAAAAAATCCATTCCAAAAAATAATAAGCAACACCACCAAACTTTGTCACCAAAGTGTTCCAAAATGCACCAGAAAGATCTTGTAACCGGACTTGCATCTGACTTTTACCGGAATTTTTGGACAGCTACCGGTTTATTTAACCGGTCAATTTATCGGTGAAATTTGGAAAGTGCCCGACAACCCTTTTTTTTGTCAAGTTTCAAGGTCAAGTATGAACCCTGGTGAAACGATCTGTATACAGTTTCTCGGCCCACTTGCCAAAGGCATATAAGTTCCTGCAATAATGGTTGCCTTGTTGGCCTCACTAAACCTTTCCGGATCGAATGTATCTGGATTGGGAAAAAAGTTCTTGGGAAGAACGCGTCAAAATTATCCAATCCTATTATGAAAATGGGCGATCGAGGCAAAATATCATTTCGTGCTTTACTTGAATTTTTTGGTGACGCAAAATCGACCTCCACGAGTACGCTGGGGGTTTTGATGTTCGCTACGAATCAAATTTGCTCGAATTTTTGGACCACAATCCAAATTATCCTCTCAGTGGATCGATTTTGCGTCACCAAAAAATTCAAGTTGAGCACGAAATGTATTCTTCCTCGATCGCTCATTTTTATAAAATCTGGTTTTTTTTTAAAGATAAAAGTCAAAATGACATTATGTTGGCAATACAATGTAAAATTGTCAATTATTCAAATTTTTTATGCAGAAAAGGCTTGTGTTGCCAACATAGTTACTAGATTTTTGACTTGGGGAATTATCTTCAAATAAAAAACAGACTTTAATAGGTTTGGATAATTTTGACGCGTTGTTCCGTAATGTATTGCTCCATGACTAATTTGGTCCATGTTTCTATTATTAGATTATTAAGCCCAGAGAAGTCACGAATAGTTCATGTCCAACTACTCAAAGTAACTAAACTCACTTACTTCATCTTTTAGTAGCTACCGATTCTGTTTCTGGGATGTAAATTAAATTATATTTTTGAATGAAAACCTCGAACATCCAGAAACGCATTCTTATTCTAAATAATGATCGAATTGAACATACACTTCTCCCAAAGGCTTCTACAACGGTTGCTGCATTTATTTCTATTCAACTCTTTCAAGATCTAAATCAAACTCGAACTATTTCAACTATTTCGTGCCCCATGTTACGGATTTTTTTATAATTATTAACATTATTTCGCTCAAAATAAAACATAAACTTATTTCAGTTTCTCGTTTCTCACATCGCTTTTATTGGAAAAATTATTCGGTAGACTTTGGGTGTTTCCTAGACTTCTTTTCGAAATGTTGCCATCGTACCTCGAAAATAATCGACATCGAGCAAGTCTATCAAAAGTTGCTGGACATGAAAAATGTCAAAAACAAGAGACAAGAGGAGGAGGAAGAACCTTGAAGACAGAAGGGAAATAAGAAGAGACAGAGAATCCAGAGGGCTGTGACTCTGTAACGCATAGAGATCGTTATCCCGCTATAGCACTTGCTGCTTCTCCTGTCTTTTCGAAATCAATAGAGAGGGGACGTCAATAGAGATAGAGTCCCAGCCCTGGAAGCAGCCTCAAGATTATGATTTCAAGAATACAATAGAAGAAGTACGTTATGAAGTTGGGGGTATTCGTCAGGAAGTTGGAACTAGAGAACAACTAGAAGTCGATAATTTCATGGATAGAACTAAAGATAATAGCTCTGTTCCAACAGACATGAGAACTGTTGCAGAGCTAGTAATTTCCAGTTGCCCACCTATATTTCCATAAGTTGAACGTTTATCCTATTTGACAAATAAATTTATCGACTGGAATTTACCGTTCTACAACGCTTTTAATGTCTGCTGGAGCAGAGCTATTGTCAACACACGAGCCTGGTTGGACAAATAACACACTGTACATGAATTCAATAATGAGTTTATTGCAAATCGACAAAACACAGGACATATTTAACCTTGTTAAATATGATGAGACAAACAAGAAACGGATATAAAATGCGATGCAAGCCGCATCAAAGGCAGACTTGAACCAGTGTTAGTACCGCCACCCTGGGAACGCCCATCTAGACTCAAGTCTTCCCAGTACCTGTATGTACCTCCAGTTGGGAAAGCCACTCTGGGTATCTTCAGCCTCATCGTTGTCCAGCGCCAGTACCTCTAGTTGGGAAAGCTCCTTTGGACAAGGCATAAAGGTCACTAGCTACAGTTGCTTAGCGAATAACCCGACAGTCCCCCAAGCAACGTTGACGTGTTGCACCCTATAAGGACCCTAGCGTTAGAAGGGTCATGCATCCTATAGAGTTAAGATATACATATGTGAAAGACATATCTATCTACTTTTTATACTACTTGAGCGAGTTTCTCTTTATCAACCCCCAAAGCTTCAACCCCCATGTCACTCCTGTAAAACAGGCGGTTGTGACAATATGGATGTACAGAGAATGCTGCTCATCGTAACCAAACCACTGAATAACAGCGAAGCTCTAATCAGAGTACTAGAAATCGAAGCGGACCGAACCAAAGACCACATCAGCTGTATCAATACGAGAGGAAACAGAACTAATAGGATAAATTGATGAAACAATAATGAAGTGGCTTCTAAAAGAAATACGAGTGGTTGTTACTAATCTAACAAAGGAAACGGACACCGCGCGTGTTACCGCTGCAGAAGACGAACCTAAAATAAAAAGAAACCGACAAAAGATCACCAACAATCTGAAGGAACGAAAAATGAACAAGAAACCGGGAACAGGAAGATTCGTGGAAATGATTCCCTAGTAGTTTTAGCATGTAAAAGATGAGATGATAAAAATATTTACGAGTATGACGAGGAACATAGATCTTAGAAGATACTATCACAGATACTATTTCTAAAGACATGGACCCTGGAAGGCGATTTTGCTATACTACTGGTAATAGAGAGACGACGAATAATAGATGGAATTATTAGATATGAATGTAAAAGAAAAGGTAACGCATTTTGACAGGCTGATCACAAGAATGGATTGTTAGATAGGATCGATCTGATTTTGTGATTTTAGAGGGAGGGCAGTGTAATTATAGAAGAGAATTAAATTGAAAATTTTTGTATGTAAAGCGCTTAGTGTATAGGGTAGGCAATAATCTGGTCACATGCTTAATCAGAAACTTCATATTATTTTCAAATTTTCCCCCTAATATGTCGGAAATATAATTTTGGAAAGCCACTGAAACGATCCAAAAATAATATCTATTATGGAAAATTTCCATCTAAAAACAACTGGATAATTCAATAATTTTATTTGAACTCAACTAACGACCTTCTAAACCCCTTCAAAGTTACTATGTACAATTTCAAAACGGATAGAATTTCTGATGATACTTCATTTTGAAAGATGTTTAATTATTGCTCAATAAGATTCTAAGATTTTATGTCTAATAAAAAATAAGAAAATATCAGGGAAATATTCATTATGCTATAATATTACACCAAGTATTAAACAAACAAATACAAAAAAAAAAACTAAATATACATATCACAAAAGTACCAAATTATTATTTCTGCCTTTTTTCCAAAGCCAACCAAATACCATTTTTCGGGTTCAATATGACTGTTTTGGCGAATTTGATTGGAATTTCAGTTTTTTCTGTAACAACCACGTCCAATTTTGATAGTAAACTCACTATCAATGCTTTGGTTTCTAACAGGGCAAATCTTGAACCTGAAATAAACAAAATCCTTATCTGAAATTCACCGGAATTGCATAATGATATATTAAACACGTACCTATACAGTTTCTCGGCCCACTTCCAAAAGGCATATAAGTTCCTGCAATAATATTTGCCTTGTTGGCCTCACTAAACCTTTCCGGATCGAATTTATCTGGATTGGGAAAAAAGTCTGGACACGTATGGATACCGTATACCGGTATAACAAGTAGACAACCTTTTTCTATGACGAAATCTTTTTCGTTGGCTCGTGTAGCAGGGACTGGATAATCCTAAAAAAAAGGTGGATATAACATAACAAAAGTTCATGAACCACAAATAAATTCTCACTTTGGTACAGATTCTGCTTAAAGCAAATCCAGGAGGATACAACCTCAAAGTCTCAGAAACCACTTGATCTAAATATTTCATTTTCAATATGGCATCATAATCAAGTTTACCGTTTGTAACTTCCAAATTATCATCTATTTCCTTTTGTAGTTTTTGTTGGATATCTGGATTCATTGCCAGCTCATAGGCAACTAGCCCTAAAAGCGTTGAAGAGGTTTCAAATCCAGCAAAAAAGAACACCAACCTAGAATTTTTATTGTTGAGTGAAATAAGGTGTTATTGGAAGTTTTCTTACGCTTGTGCTGTAATAAGATCATCAGTCAATTCCATTTTATCATCAGAATCTATTCTAGCTCCAGTTTCTTCTACACTAGCATATCCGGCATTTCCAGAATCAGCACCATCTTCTTTGAGTTGTCCTTTTCTAGCTTGCATTAGTAAATGGATCAAATCAGGACGGACTACTCCTTCTTTTTCTCTGTAATTTATAGTTTCTTTGACCATCCTCTTGAAAAATTCGGTTACAAATGCAGGAAACACTCCTATTTTTACCGCCTATAAAAAAATAACTTAAACATTTTTGTATACAGGGATGAATAAAAATTTTACTTTTACTATCCAAGGAAAAAATGCAATAAGCAACCCTTTCAAAGCTCTTAATCCAGTGAAAGCTGAAGCGAAAAACTTGCCCATCCTATAAAATTCATTGTCCTTGTTCTCTAATGAATCACACTCTATACCAAAAGCACAACTTGCAATCACATCATTGGAGTACTTGGAGAAGAAATCTTTCATTTCAATTTCGCACTTGCTGTCTTTTGAGTCCCTCAAGGCGTAATTGGTAAAAGTTTCAGCTGTTTGTGCCATTAAAGTGAACATTTGTCTCATTTTGCTGCTTGTGAATGCTGGACTGAGGGTGGCTCTCATATTTCTCCATGCATGACCTATATATACAGAACAAATTTAGGTAGTCAAATAATTTCGTCAAATAATGCTTTAGTGGTAATACTAGTATTTTACCTTTTAGTGCGAATAAATTCTGGGCTACTACAGGATCAGAAGTCTGATCAGATATAGTTGCGTGGTCGTGGAAATGATCAAAGTCTTTGACTGTGATTTTTTTTATGAGTTCCAGATCTCTAACGAATAGGGATGGACGAAGAAATTGGTAGCTTCCAAAGTATCTGAAAAAAAATATTGTATTTTTATTCAACCATGTGTGTTTGTGGAAGGAACAAAAAACATAACAAACAGAAAAATGGAAGAATATAATGTAAAACATAACTTGACCATTGATGTTGAAGAAATAAGCGAGCAAAACCCACCAATTTGAAGCCCTGTCTAGTCTAGTTATTGAAAACCAGATACAGAAAAATAATTGTAAAATACACTAAGCTGATAGTAAAAATGAGAAGTCTTGGGGCCGGTTTCTCATTAGCCAGTCACCTCCGGGTTGGTTTCAACTCCAGGGTAAGCGTTGCCAATGTTTACACTGGAGTTATGTTTAACTTGGGGGTGACTTGCTTGTGAGAAACCGGCTCTTAGTGATATGAGAATTTCCATTGTGATGGAATTTCAATGATAGTTGGGTTACTTGCGATAGAAATTTTGAAATTGATAGTGCAAATTAGTTGATGACCAGAAAAAAGTTCGAGCAATGTCCCTTTTTCAAGCTAATGCTGAAAAATAAGATAATGCTCCAATTTTGCTCCTTCTGGTGATTTTCAATTTGCGAAGGAAATTCTAGGTAATTGATTCAAGTTTTTTCAGGATGAGGCCTCCAAAGCCTCTGTTTCTTATAACGATTGACTATTCAGTTTGGGATTTGTAATTAGTGCAGATACAAATTTCTCATTTATGGTCACAACACAAATTGAGGGAATGAGCAGCTATTGATCCCTCAAAACTGATAAACTTGCTCTTTTAGGTAGTTTTGTTAAAGTGTATAGGATTGTCAAAATCGAACAATGTGTTCTAACTTTTAGTTTAAACATCCCGCCTCATTGGAAAATTTTGGTCAATCTCATTGTGCTTCTGGAAAAGTCAAGTCTTGGCTTCAACAATGGTTTTGTCATGAGATCCGCAAGTTGATTCTCAGATGAAACTTTTGCAACGTTTGTCCGTCCATCTACTACCAGCTCACAAACAATGAATGTGTTTGGTTCGTCGATGGAATTCAGGATTCTGGATCAATTTAATTCCAGCTTCATTGTCAACTTTCAGCACTGGAATTGACTGAATTTCATCAAACAAGTTTTTATCCACACAATTTCCTTGCCAGCTTCGCTATCCGTCACTATTTCAGCTTAGCTACGTGATTGCCCGTGGTGCCCTATTAGCGAACATACTTAAAACTACTGAAGTTGAGCGTCCTGGTTTGATCGCCACCATGGTCTGCTTCACTGAAGACTTTAATTTCTTCTGGTACTCTTGGTTTGTACCTACATGCATGTAGTTGTAGTGTTCAATTCTTCATCATTCCTTCCTGGCTGGCTCAAAAAATTCTGCACGGAATCTCCAAAATTGTGGGGCTTGTGGAAGTAAACATGGACGAAACAATTACAGAGCGTATGGAAAAAAATGCACTGCGTGTGGTATGTTTCATCATTTTGCTCAAGTTTGCGGTAATATGAGACAGGTATACAGGATGGGCCAATGGAAACTTTCCACCCCGATTTTTTCGATTTAAAATAAAAATCTGGAAAAACGCTCGGACACGTTGATTTTTTATTTGAGGGGGAAATATTTTTCAGTTTTTTTCATCCCCATAGCATCAACCCCCTAGCTGGGGGGAGAACTACCCCCCATATTTGAATAGGGGGTAGGGGTTGTGTCATAACTCTTTTTAAAGATCTCATTGAGTTCTTTATGACCCTAGAATTTCGTCCCATTATTTTTATTCGTAACGAAATGACAGCTTGTCAAAATCATGGAAATTGTTGATTGTTTTAGTAGGAGTAAAAGCGATACTTACCTCCCTTGATAAAAATACTTGAAATTAAAGTTTTTTTCATTATTATTATTAATTAGGTGTACACGTGAATTGCAAATTGAAGGTATTCTTATCAGGGAGGTAAGTATCGCTTCGACTCCTACCTCCTACTAAAACAATAGTCTATTTCCAAGATTTTGACAAGCTGTCATTTCGTTACGGATGAAAATAATGAGACGAAATTCTAGGGTCATAAAGAACTCAATGAGATCTTTAAAAAGCGGTATGACACAACCCCTATCCCCTATTCAAATTTGGGGGGTTGTTCTCCCCCAGCTAGGGGGTTGATGCTACGGGGATGAAAAAAACTGAGAAATATTTCTCCCTCAAATCAGAAATCGACGAGTCCAAGCGTTTTTCCAGATTTTCATTTTAAATCGAAAAAATCGGGGTGGAAAGTTTCCATTGGCCCACCCTGTATAGTGTAAGTAACGATCTTTCATTGCATAATCAATATTGTGAAGAAAATAACAACACGTATTTTAATAATTCTGAAGGTGTATAATTATACACCTTTTTCCACCATTGGGATCGACACAGGTTTACAGTTTTGCATTCCAAAGCGGTCAAGAATTCTTGTATAAGCTGTTTGGCTTACTTCTACTGCACCATTTTCTAATTTCTAAACCCAAAAAATAAAAAGCTGGTTTAATGGTAATTTTAAATTCTCTTCCTAAACTTTCTAAGGTGGAATTATTTAATTTGTCGTTGGTTGAAGCTAGGAGTCTATCATCAACATATAACGATAGTAGAAGTGTGCCTTCTTCAACTATCTTTATAAAGAAACAAGGGTCGACATCTGATCTTTCAAAACCAAGATCTTCTATGTAATAGGTAAATGTTTTAGTCCATAAAGACTGCACTGAAGTTTATAGACCATGTTACTTCCATCTTCATTCCCCTCTGGTTGCTTCATATAGACTTCTTCATTTAGTTTTCCATAGAGAAATGCAGTACCTACATACGTCGAACTGAGTTAGTGTCATGTTGTTGCTAGCAGCATTACTGAACAGTGATCTAATAGTTCCTTACTTGGTTACAGGACTGTAAAACTGGTTGTTATCTTCACCTTTTTTTTTGTGAATAACTTTTGTTAACTATTCGAGCTTTGTACTTGCCAATAGACCCATCTGGATTGGTCATTACTTTATACACCCACTTATGGTATATTATACCTTCTGGTGTTAACCTCTTAACCTCCCAAATACAATTTTCTTGTGGTGTGGTGACTGTATTTCTTTATCCATTGCCAAAATCCAATTGTCTTTATCATTGCAAGTAAGTAATAGCATCTTTGCAGCTTGGTGGCTCCTGTGGTTCGCTTATTTCTACAGCAACTATCATAATATAGTCCTTAAAACGAACCGGTTTTTTTAGCTCTGTTCTCTCTCTCAGTTGTTTTTTTTATTTCAGTTTGATCTTCTAGGTCTTCCTGTATTGTTCTATGCTCATTTTCTGTCGGATCTGTCATTTCCAGACTTGTATCTGTTAGGTCTGGTATCTCCGAATGTTGATTAATTTGATCTGAATCTGGTACCTATTCTTCGGAGAACTGTTCTTCTTGTTCTATTTGATCTTTAGGTTCATTATTTTATGAATTCTGTAAATCTTCTTCATTTATAACAAGTTTTATTGGTAGCAAAGGAAAACTGTTATTTTCTACTTTTCTCGTCAAATTCTATTGACCAAATTCTGTATCGATCACCATTTTTGTAACCTAGGAGAATACCCTCAACAGCTTTCTTATTCATTTTCTAAGGTCCACTTTTAGAAATATGAAGCAAATAGGAAGCAAATACTAAAATCTTTTTTTTTTTTTTAAATAATTCCCCAAGTCAAAAATTTAGTAACTATGTTGGCAACACAAGCCTTTTCTACATAAAAAATTTGAAAGCATTGACAATTTTACATTGTATTGCCAACATAATGTCATTTTGACTTTTATCTTTAAAAAAAAAAACAGATTTTAGGTACCTATTACTCTCAGATGTTTCAGGTTAGGCTTTTTCTGATTCACCTCAAAAGGAAATTTTCGATAGACCCCTGATTGGCTTTCTCTGTTTAGGATATACAGGGTGGGGCACCGAAAAACTTCCCACCCAGGTTTTCTCAGGTGTTAGCTGAATAATCGAAAATCGATCAGACACGTCAATTTTTGTTTTTTGGCGGACACATTTTATTGGAGTTTCTACTTCCTACCTTTCAACCCCTAAGCGGGGGTAACAGATACCTCCAAAATTTCAAAAGGAGAGGAATGACATATCACTCGAACTCCTTTTTTTTGAAATTTTGGGGGTACCTTTCACCATCGCTTAAGGGTTGACAGGTAAGGGATGAAAATACCGATAAGATGTTTCCCCCAAAAAGCAAAAATCGACGTGTCCAAGCGATTTTTGATTAATCACCTAACACTGATGGCCTCGCAAAGGAAGGGGCCTCAACACCATACCATGGACCAGAGCCCTACTGTGCCTCAATGAAAAGCCACATCATGGAAGAACTCAATAAATGGGAGAAAGATCAACTGTCATCATACTGGAGGCACACACCGAGACTCAGACAGTCTTAAAGGTTTATTACCCTTTGAGCAAAAAGAGCTGAACAGCTCCCAAGCATGAGCAGACCAGACATCAGATTGGTGGTGGGACTGCTCACAGGACACTGCCCAGTAAAATACCATTTAAGGTTAATGGGCAGAGCGGAAGACGATCTCTGTAGATTCTGCTCAGACGCAATAGAGACCGCAGAGCACCTGCTCTGCGAATGTCCAGCCCAATTCTGCAAGAGGCTCAAATTCCTCGAGGGGGCAACGCTGTCACCAGAAGAAGTGGGCCAACTAACACCCAGGAAAATAGCTTCCTTTGGCAGAAGTCTACGCTTCCTGGAGACAATTTGAGATGTAGAGTCATGTACAAAATATCTGCAAAGGTAGCAGTGCTGAGCGGCTGAAAAGCCGAAACGACTCCCCCGCAATCTACAATCTATAACACCTGAGGAAACCTGGGTGGAAAGTTTTCCGTGCGCCACCCTGTATACAGACGTACTGATGTCATTGCATCATTTCTTCCCAAAATATTTGTTCAATTATTCCTTCTCTGGCGTGCATCAAAGCCCTTGCAGTTTCCAGAATAGTATTAATTTCTCTTTCGGACCAGCCATTCTGTTGTGGTATGTATGGCATGAATAACCTCT